AAATATTCTATTTAGGAAATATATAGCAAATATGATATAAAAATCACATGGCCAGTTACATATTAACAATTTATTAAATCGGATAAATTTTGACCATGCAATATTTTTGTCCCCCTTGGTATAAATTATAGTATATATTTAATTGATTTATAATATAATTATTACAATATGATTTGTAAATTATTAATGTATAAAAGAAAGTTCAAATATTTTTTTTTATAATAACTTTATAAAATTATATTGTCAAAAAACAAATATTAAGAATAAACTAATTTGTAAAATTAAGAATTTAATATTGTAAGAGTTTATTTTATTTGTGTAATAAAACTATTGTGATTAATCAATTAATCTTTGATTAATAGTAATAATAATAAAGTACATAATTGCAAATATGTAGTATTAAAATTAAGATCGCGTTTACGGATCATTCCTCTTGTAATTATCGCTCTCAGTCGTGTTATATGGATCCACAAATACAGATTCTTTAGATTGTAATTTTAATTCTTGATTAGCTGTTATATCTGAAAAAACCGAATCAACATCTCCTGGTGATGATTCCGACTTTGCTGCCGTTTCTTTTCTTTGTTGTTTTAATTGAACATCAAGTAAACAATTATTAAATGATGATCTACTAATCACGTATCCCGATATCATCGAAGTTACTAATATAATTAAAACTAGTTGTTAAAAGATGAAATAAAATAAAATAATTGACTGGAATAAAATGAATAACCAACCGCATATTGATAATATAGTTTGATTTGTATTTAATTTTATTATTTTTCGAGAAACAATTCCTTATTTAATTTAGCATGTATTATTAAAACTAATAAGTAACATTCTTAAAAAAAACGTACGCATTATTAAATACCTGATAAAATTGCGGCGACACCTCCGAATACTAAACCCTCTCGTTTAGCCTTTTCTTGACATACTTTACTTGGAACAAGTTCCTAAATGTTAACTATTAATGGCTTTCTCTTTTATAAATTAGATCAACCTCAATAAAAAATTCTTACAGGACGTTCTTTCGCTATACCTTCTTGAATCGGAGTTAGGAAATTCATCGCTTTCATGAAAGAGTTTTTTTTTATCATTAACCAATAAAAGTTTTTAAACGGATAACGTCATCAATTTATCTTTTAAATTCCGTTACACGGATACTGTTTTATACCGAAATTTATGATCTTAAGTCGAGTTTCAAAGCCATTATTACATTTAAGATATTTATGAGGCAAATCAAAACTTTAGGACGGGACAACTTTGTTATAAGTGATTTATACTGATTCGATTGAATGATATTTTATTTTTTACACAAATTTTCAAATATTTATTTTTCTTAAAACGAGGAAGAAACAATCTAAAAATTTATTTCTTTATAATTTGATTTTATAAATTTACATCACTGAAAATAACAAACTTAATTCATTACTACATTAATCTAATGCAACAACTATTTTATGAAATGATTTTTTTTAAAAAAAAAAATGTGCGAGTGCTTCTTATTGACCACCACGAAGACGGAGAACAAGATGAAGAGTTGACTCCTTTTGGATGTTGTAATCAGAGAGGGTACGACCATCTTCTAACTGTTTACCAGCGAAAATCAAACGTTGTTGATCAGGTGGTATACCTTC